TATTCTTAATTTTTCCACTTCTATTATGTTAGAAAATGATGAATGATGCATTTCTTATTTACTAGATGATTAATTTTTTACTTGTAATTTGTGTCAAGTGCTATTAGATGGATCTTCAAATTCAATTACAAATGCACAAAAAAGAGCATTTTATATTTTTATTAAATACAACTACCTTAAAAGTTTTAAATACATAAGAATTTATCAAAAAGTTCATCAAAAGATGTTTTGCATTTAAAATTACCTGAGTTATTAAACAAAAGAAGTATTACGTGTAGTTAGTGAGTTGAACTGATTACTTCTGGTCACCATGTCCTTCAAGATTTTAGAATTGCCCGTAGCTCTCATCCTCATATATCTAGTTTTTATTCATAGCTTGGGAGAGGAAAACAAGCTTTCCTGCTTTTTCAATTCCCATCCATAACAATACATGGGTGCTTAACGTTTGAATGAACTAGTCATTGAACTGAATTAGTTGAATGAGCTGAAATGAAGAAAATATCTGTGCCCCTGCAGAAGAGGCTACTGCTGTTGAAAACAGGTTTAGTACTTCAACAAGCTCTGTTTACAGTGCTTAGCCAGTGACTTCCACCAGTTCAATGGTTTCAATTTCTTTAAAATTTGGCAGCAAATATATACTGCTTAATCATTATTTTTTTTGCATTTAATACAAATGATCTAAATATAATAAATGTAGGCCTTAACATAAGTAGTCAGTTTCAAATTTAATTTTAAATGTTTTTTTTAATTGTATCAATTTAAATAAAAATCTGATTTAAATTTTAAAAATCTGATTTCTTTTTAAAGTGATTGATTGATTTTTATCCACCCTGGCTGGCAGGCAGATCATCTGCTTTCCTCCTCTTTCCCCTCCCACCCCCTCCAGCTCCCCAAAAAAAAGGGTGCAGTAGTTGCTGAATCAGCCTGAGTGGATAGTCATGCTGCTTCCCATCTGCGTTGCCACAAACCAGGTGAGCATCAGATTGTGGCAGGGTGTAGGAGGACAAAAAGGAACTTCTTGGTGGAGCATGTAGGGCTCAAGGAAGAGGGGAAACAAAGGACTGAAAGAATGAATGTAGCTGGTAGTATAAGGGGTCAAGCAGGTTGAGAGCGGAAGAAGGCAGAGGGAAGGGGAAGTAGACTGAAAGAGCGCAGAAGGAATGATAAGAAGAGACTCTGAAAAGGGAAGTGACACACATAATATGTTGCCCAGCCCATTCCCACAGCTGCCAGAACACTCCCACACATGCTTACCTGACTCCAACCATAACTAGCCCCAAAATGGGTGTCCTGGTGTTTTACTTTGCAATTGCATCTGCCCACCCACCCACATGGCCCCCATTATTGTAGTATCTGAACCCCTCACAATCTTTAATGTATTTATCCTCACAACACCCCTGTAAGAAAAGGAGGTGCTTTTATCCCCATTTTACAAATGGGGAACTGAGGGACAGAGAGATTATGTGACTTGCCCCTGGGCATACAGGAAGGCTGTGGTGCAGCAGGGAATTGAACACAGACTAGAAACCACTGGAGCATCCTTCCTCTCATCTGGTCACTGTAACTGTTAAGTTTGCACAGAGATGGCTAGACACGTGGTACTGGTTCTTCTTGTTTCCAATGGCTACTTTTCATTACAGACTGCTAAAAATACATTGGAAAGTCAATGGAAGTCACCAGTGCTCGGCATCTCTGATGATTACTTGACCTTTACTTAGGAACCAAACTTTAAGCAATCTGTTTTGAGAATTTTGGCCACTAAAATACTGTCATATTATTACCTTTCTCCATAAGCAGTCGTCATAGCTGTCATCGCTATGTCCTATGAGCTTGAGTGGGAGGTGGACTGCACATTCATAAATAGGAGGGGAAAGTGGTCAGTGTAATCATGAATGGGAGTAGCAGTGATTCCTGAGCAATCATTTTATTAAGATGTGGTCCACGTAATAGTGCAAATATGAGAATCTCTGTCATAAACCCAAGTTTCCATAAGATCACACATAAGTATCTTTATTTTTATTTGGATTCACGGGAGAACGAATCAGAAATCTAAACTTAGTTCAGTTCATTGATCAAGATGGAATATTATACAGTTTATATATATTTGGTACTGCCTTAATATGTATTGTTATGGATGAGACTTAAATGATAGTTCTTCACTAAGTAATGCTGTAGGATGGGTATTGTTGTAAATGTTATTGTCGGGGCTCTCTGCATTTTGTTAAGGGCCCTTTCGAAAAGGGTAAATCTAAATATATAAATAAATAAGCTCTTTGGGGGGCAGGGACCATCTTTTTGATGTGTTTGTACAGTGCCTAGCACAATGGGCTTCTGGGTACTACCACAATAAAAATTAATAAAATAAATGAAATTTACTTTATTTTAAAAAATCTCCTAGGTTGATGGCTTCTGCAACAAGTTTGACAGCAGAGAAATTTTAGAGCCAAGTTGTAACTCCCCAAAGAGAAAGATAAATTGGTGGAAAATAGTACATTGGTTAGAAGATAAGTAATAGACTTTCTGTACAAGAGGACCTCTGATAATTTCCCCAAATTATGTGTATAACATGGTACTCATGAGAGCATGAATACTGTTTGGAGAGCAAACTGAATACAGAAAATAAAATGAAAAAAAAAATCCAAATACTGAGCATTTGAAAAGTATGACACTGATGTATTTATGCAACCTTTTCATGGAGAGCAGTGCTGAAGTCAAAGAGGGGACTTTGGTTTCCTTCATTAAAAGCTTATTAAATGAAGAAATAGGACAGTCGTCGTTTTGCTTCAATAGTTGGGGGTCAGAGAGGTGGGTCTGATCTCCTCAGAATATTAATGTCTGCCTTCAGCTGCGGGAAATGAGCCGTCACTTGAGTTAGCTGCAGCTTTATGTGCTCGTCACTAGGGATCCCCATATGTCCTGGGATCTTCAGCAGTCGGAAATGGCAGAACTCTCTTGTAGAGAGCAGAGGGCTCTCATTAGTATTCATAACAGGTAGCTCAGCTCAATCTGCCCAGAGCAAGTCTGTTTAATGTTGATCAGCTGTCCATCTGATAAATTGAATTGATATGGACATTTCCTCCAAGGGCTGCCCTGACAATGACAGCAGGAACATCGGGATGTCTTATTAGTCTTTTTTTTTATCAGTGCTTGAAATATTGTTAACCCTTTGGTATACCCAAGGCTAGAATATGTACAGTACGTTGTCATTCGTGTGGCTATGTATACAGAAAGATTTTCTCCCCTGCCTCTTTGAGAAACAATGTCAGGCTTGAAGTTTGTTGCCTAAATGGTGAATGCTTTGCCCCCTGCTGTGTCTCTCAAAAGTAACACTTCCCTGCATGAAGCAAAATAGTGAATAATAAATAATGTCATCTTTTAAAACTGTTTAACTGAATAATTTTTGTTCTATGGTAATAAATATAATGGAAGCCTCAGTTCACCTCCCCCCGTCACTCTACTTTCTCTCCTGCTGTTATGCTGCAGCAGAAATCTAACCTAAACATGGATCAGTATGGGTGGGTGGGGTAATTTATTTACAGAATAAAGCAGTGCTGAACCCCTTTCCTTGGGAATAAGTATGGAGAACCTAATAGGGCTCTGTGCAGGGTTACAGTTTAATTTTATGTTTGGTATCTAAGGCCTTGATCCTGCAAACACTTGAATACATACATAACTTTATTCATGTGAGTTGTTTTCACTGGCATCAGTGAAACTACTTAAGTAAGTAAAGTTGTGATTGTGCTTCCTAAATTGCAAGATTAGGGCCTAAATATACCAATTTCATGAATTGCAAACTGTGAAATTAACAAAGTGGTTTACTGCTTTGCTACTTGAATGGTATTCTTCTTTCTCTCTTGCTTGCATTCAGTAGTTGTGCCTGCTTCATGTGTAGTGATTCTAGAATAGGCTCAGGTGTCTGGTCTCCTTGAAATCAGATTAATTGCCAAACATGACCACTTCAGAAAAAAAAATCCTTTTATCCTCTTCTTTTTATTTCATACTTCAACCTAGAAGGTCAGGTAAGCACCCTCTGAAAGAGAGGCAGGTGCCACTGCTGTTCATAGATTGCCAACCCTTAGCCAGTAAACAAAGTGTAATTTTCTCCTTTCTGTGGGCTGACTTGGATATGTGAACAGCTTCCCCTGAACATTCCTTACACTCTGATATTGGTCCACCAAATTTAACATTATTTTGTTCTTACAGCTATTACATCATTTCTCCTTCTGCAAAATTGAAAAGTGCCATAGAAAGGGGAGCCATATAGAAAGAGAAGATAGTTCTTTTTCCGTGCAGGGATTGGCGCCTCCTATATTGAGCTCATTAGAATACATCAGAATAAGAACTTGACACACAAAATTATCCAAATAAAATTTAATCTACCATTGTGCTGCACAGAGCAATTTAGATAATCTCCACAATTTCTACTAAACAGATAAACTTAGTTTCATCATCAAATGTCATTTGCCCACTGCTTGTCCATTAGAAAATCTGGCCCCATTATTGAAATGTGTGGAGGTATCCTACTGTTAATCCCCCTCCCCTAGTCAAGGAAGCAGTCATTTATTGCAGCACTTTTCTAATGCTCAGCTAGTTTTTAATCCAATCCTGACCTCTCATTCCCTCACCACTATGAGCACCCTATGGTTGGTTTCCTTTATAGTTTCTTTTAAGGGACATTGTCAAAATCTTTAAAAATATATATAAAAAAAAATGTTGACTGGTTACCTGTTTGAATTTTTGAGAAAGTTGTTAAAATGAAACTGGGAGGAAGATTTTTTCCCTTTAGAAGCTGTGAGGATTTGACCCCATCATGCTATTACTTGCCCAGGTGATATCATACTCTCTAATTACTGCTTGTGAACTGCGATTTCCAAAGATCTATGGTGAAACAACAATTATAAAACATTCTTGTGTAGATGAGGAACTGTAGAATGGCTTTTTATCAAAAATCTGCATTGTGTTTGTGGCTTCAAAAATAAATCTCTTATCTTTGCTTTAAGTCAAAGAAGTCTGGCAGAGATTACAGAGCTGATCCACACTGCCTTTCTGGTGCATCGTGGGATAGTAAACATTGGCGAGCTGAAGTCCTGTGATGGCCTACTGAAGGACATGCAGTTTGGAAATAAAATAGCTGTCCTGAGTGGAGACTTTCTTCTAGCAAATGCTTGCACAAGCCTAGCTCAACTACAGAATACTAAGGTAAAAAATGGGTTTCAGAGTAGCAGCCGCGTTAGTCTGTATTCGCAAAAAGAAAAGGAGTACTAGTGGCACCTTAGAGATTAACCAATTTATTTGGTTAGTCTCTAAGGTGCCACTAGTACTCCTTTTCTTTTTAAGGTAAAAAATGTTTCTACTACTCTAATAAGTAACAGCTCTGGTTGTTAACCACTGAACAGATAAGTCTGAATTGGGACATCCTTTCACTGTAAAAATGGGCACAATTCTATTATATATGCAGATGGATTGACAGCTGGTGTTGCTCCAGGTACATCTACCACAATATTACAGAAATGTTACCACAGCTAACGTTTTAGTATCTCTTCTGAAGCAGTGATGCCATAGATAGTAGTGGATTAAAAGACAGGCTGGTGAATTAACATACATATGCTGCTGTGTCTTCAAGACATGTAGTACAGTACATCTCTGGCAACCTGCCAGGTGAAGTTCAAAACATATTTAGTTGATTATTTAGTTTTATATTGTGCTTTTTTTTTTTTTTTTGAGGGAAGAATGGATTCTGTTTGTTTTACATTTCGAGGATTCTTCGGGATCTTTCAATTTTTGTCTGCACAGGTGTGATTTGCCTTTTTGCTATTAGTAAAATTTTGTTAGTCATCCAAACAGCTTTGGGCATGGAATGCCCTATGAACAAAAATGCATTATCATTTTAAAAGACAACTGCAGTCATTTTGCTCAGCCCAGCTGTCTGAAAGTTTACAAGATAGGAGGTGTTTGTCATTGTGAATAAACTGGGATGTGTGTGTATATGTACGTATATATGTGTGTGTGTGTGTGTGTGAGAAAAGGATATATTTATGCACTAGGTAAAAACCAGTACTGTCACATGGGTGTAATTCATAAAGGGTGGGGGGGGAATGGCTGAGAACATAAAAATTGTATATAACAGACTGTGAATCCCAGTGATGATTGAACTTGGTGATATGCTAAACAAAAAGAGTTCTCAACCATGTTATCAGGCTGTTTGGAGTAGCTCATGAACGTGAGTGCCAACTTCAGGGCAGACTGTTACAAACCAGGGCACAACCCTCTCCCAAGTACCCGTGGCACCCCCAGCACCCTGCCTCAGAGTACCCAAGTTTTAGTTAGGGGTATATAGTACAAGTCATAGACAGATCACGGTCCGTTAATTTTTGTTTACTGCCCGTGACCTGTCCATGACTTTTACTAAATATACCTGTGACTAAAACATACCCTTAGTTATAAGTAAGATTAACAGATGCAACAACTCTCAAGCGTTTCATAAAGTCTAAACACTAAACACATTTTTATAAATCTAATAGCTATTTTAACAATACTATTGCATAAGTGAGCCAGACTGGTTTGCAGCTATGCATTTGTCAGTGTTCAATGAGGCGTGGGGCCTTGGCATAAGCTGGCAACTGGTCTGTCAGCATCACGTCCTTCTAGTTGCTTCACACTGACTCAACAGACATTCTAGGCTTCAGAGTGACAATCATGGAATCTTACTATATAGGTACACAAGAAAGTATAATCTATCTGTCCACTATTGTGTATAATAAAAATGTATATCTTATATAAAATATTTCCACAATGTTAAGTTATAATAACATTTGCTATTTCTGAGCCTGATTTTGTTCTGTTTAGCATCTTATTCTGCAGCTTCTACATACCCATGGTATCTGAATGTGTATGGTACTTGACTGATATCATTTGTAACACTAGATGAGCTCAATATAAGAGAAAGGAAATCAACTTCCAACTTGCTTGACTAATGGTTTAAATTATCTGAGGGAAAAAATGTGATATTAAATATTCAAAAAATATTTTCTTTAACCTTTACAGTGTTTTTTATGATTTAAACTATTACATAAATCCGTTTAGAAACTGATTTAACATGAACATGATTATACTAGTTTTGTATCTATTAAGGATTAATTCTTCAGCATTTCAGGAGATCCTGGATGAGGTCCTCACTGCAAATCAAAGGAAAATTTAACCCTAAATAAACCTAGGTTTTAACTCAAACTGAGGGAAAACTTTGAGAAAATAATAAATCATTACGCATACCAGCAATAAAGTATAGTCCCTTAAGATTTGCCAGGAATCAAACCTACTGTAAATTGAAGCACAAATACCAAAGAGATGCTTTATTTTTCAAGCAATCATTATACTGCACATCTGAAAATTCTGCCAAAACATTTTAACACTTTTTTCATTTATCTGACATCTAAATAGTGTCATAGCTTCTACATGCTATAAGTAGGATACCACCATGGAAATTGATTGATTGATTTACTAAATTATTCTCTCATTCTTCTATCCCTACTGGAAAAGTTAGAAAATTTTAAGACAAGCTATAGAAATATCTTGACATATGCCATGACTTAAACATACCGCATTTATTCTTTTGAAAGGGGTTAATTTTCAGTTCTGTGCAGCTATTTTTTAGGAGTGTGAAATAGCCATGACTTTTTTCTTCATAATGTTTTGTGTACTTTGCAGGGCTGTCAATTAATCTCAGTTAACTCATGCGATTAACTCAAAAAAATTAATCGTAATTAAAAAGTTAATTGCGATTAATCGCACTTTTAATCACACTGTTAAACAGTAGAATACCAATTAAAATGTATTAAATATTTTTGGATGTTTTTCTACATTTTCAAACATATTGATTTCAATTACAACACAGAATACAAAGTGTACAGTGCTCACTTTATATTATTTTTTATTACAAATATTTGCACTGTAAAAATGATAAACAAAAGAAATAGTATTTTTCAATTCACCTCACACAAGTACTGTAGTGCAATCTCTTTATCATGAAAGTGCAACTTCCAAATGTAGATTTTTGTTACATAACTGCACTCAAAACAAAACAGTGTAAAACTTTAGAGCCCACAAGTCCACTCAGTCCTACTTTTTCTTTAGCCAATCACTCAGAAAAACAAATCCGTTTACATTTACGGGACATCATGCTGCCCAATTCTTATTTACAATGTCACCTGAAAGGGAGAACAGCCGTTTGCATGGGACTTTTGTAGCCGGCATTGCAAGGTATTTACATGCCAGATATGCTAAACATTCGTATGGCCCTTCGTGCTTTGGCCACTATTCCAGTGTTTCTTACTGAACTCCATGGGGGAGAACTGTGTGTCTTCTGCTCTGTTTTACCTGCATTCTGCCATATATTTCATGTTATAGCAGTCTCGGATGATGACTCAGAACATATTGTTTGTTTTAAGAACACTTTCACTGCAGATTTCACAAAACACAAAAGATACCAATGTGAGATTTCTAAAGATTAGCTACAGCACTCAACCCAAGGTTTAAGAATCTGAAGTGCCTTCCAAAATCTGAGAGGGACTAGGTGGGGAGCATGCTTTCAGAAGTCTTAAAAGAGCAACACTCCAATGCAGAAACTACAGAACCTGAAGCACCAAAAAGGAAAATCAACCTTCTGTTGGTGGCATCTGACTTGGATAATGAAAATGAACATGCGTTGGTCCGCACCGCTTTGGATCGTTATCGAGCAGAACCCGTCATCTGCATGGATGCATGTCCTCTAGAATGGTGGTTGAAGCATGAAGGGACAGATAAATCTTTAGCACATCTGGCACATAAATATCTTGTGACGTGAGCTACAACAGTGCCATGCGAATGCCTGTTCTTACTTTCAGGTGACATCACAAACAAGAAGCGGGCAGCATTGTCTCCTGCAAATGTATACGAACTTGTTTGAATGATTGGCTGAACAAGAAGTAGGACTGAGAGGACTTGTAGGCTCTAAAGTTTTACGTTGTTTTATTTTTGAGTGGAGTTATTTTTTGTACCTAATTTGACATTTTTAAGTTCAACTTTCATGATAAAGATATTGCACTACTGTACTTAGTGAACTGAAAAATTCTATTTTTTTTACAGTGCAAATATTTGTAATAAAAATAAATATAAAGTGAGCACTGTACACTTTGTATTCTGTGTTGTAATTTGAAATCAGTATATTTGAAAATGTAGAAAATATCCAAAACTATTTAAATAAATGGTATTCGATTGTTTAACAGTGCGATTAATCGTGCAATTAATCACGATTAATTTTTTTAATCGCTTGACAGCCTTAGTTCTTTGCAAGAAAAAGCAAAAGTGATGGTATTGTTGTTTGTGGCAGTTAGTAGCTAAGTAAATTGGCTTATAGAAAAAGAAACATGGAATATATTGTAAACAATACTGACCATGATAAGACTACAACCTCTATCTAGGCATGTATATCTGTTTCAGTAATTAAAACTGTTGTATGCATTGTAATTTAAACTTAAGCCTGTTAGTTTAATTTAAGCCATTACTACTGAATTAATTGTATTGTACTGTTAGATTCTTGTCTGAGCTTCTGTATGATGCATTTATCTCTGTACTTCTCTTGGGGCTTACAATTAGATGTAAATTTCTGCAGTCATAATGAAATGCAGAGCTATTTTATAATTGCCAAGGGTAAAATTAGCAAAGTCAATTATTTTCCCTTAGGCTTTTCCCTGTAGATATTAAAAGGCTGTAAGGTAATTGCCTTAGGTAACACTTTGATTTTTAAATAACATTAGGTATAGGAATTGTTGTTAATCCTGTAGTAATTTCCCCCCTCTTGCTACTGTTGTAGCATATCACTGTTGTGATGTTAACAAGATTCAGGACTAAAGGAGGGAAGTCCTTGAAATGTTATTTTTAACTAATGCTCGTGCTTCTCATTCACACGTTTTCATGTGTTGTGATGCAGAAGAGTCATTTAAATCTTTTTTACCACTTCAGGGTACAAGAACCTTGAACTAAAGATATCTTGAAATGCCAGCTGTGAAGCCATAAATTGCATGACCTCCTCCAAGATAGATTGTACTGTGCTGGGTTAATGTAAAACATCATTGTCCATCACAATGATGGGGCCAAGCCAGGGTCATCTAAATTCTTGTTGTTCGAGCATGCAAACATACAGAATAAGTTGAAAAGTATTGAGA